AAAAAGTTGTTGCACTGGGTGTACGTTGCGTTGACCATGGAGTAAATAGGTAGATTTCTTATTTTTTTCAAAACAGAGTTGATAGACTCTGCTATGTTGGTCGTCATGTGGCCCCAACGCCATCCATTGTCTCATGAAAGTGCCCATTTTTCTCTAGGTATCTCATCTAACCAATTAGCTGCTTTTATGTCACATTGCCTCAAGATGTTGTAATAATAGTAGAATCGTGGTTCAGTCATCCCATATGCTACAACAATATTAAAAGAACATAGTTAATATAATTATTTATTAGTAACAGTTAAATAATGAATAAATTGTAACAAATTTGAAACAAAGGAATTACCCATATTTATAACATCTTTCCTTAGTGCGATGTTTTTGAAATGTCTCATAAAATTCTGTGCAATGTGTCTAATGCAGTAGACATGCACTGAATTATTTTCTGTCCATCTGCTTCCATTTCTCATGTAAGCACTTCTAATGGATTCATGTCGGTTTGATATGAGTCATAATCCTTGTTGGGATGTGACATATCTTTAGAGGTTTTTTAAGAAAAAAAATCAGGTATCACTTGTTTCACCTTCGACCACTGCAAACACAATGGGGATGATGTTGTTGTGACCATCTTGTGCTACTGCAACCAACAAGGTACCTCTATACTTTCCATACAGAAAAGTTTCGTCCACTTGAACAATGGGCTTGCAGTGAACAAATCCATTTATGCATGGCCTAAACGTCCAAAACACATGCTTAAAATATATTTGAATTTTGTTGAAGGACCTCACCTTGGTAAGTTGGTTGTGACTGCAGTTTGTAGATGAATCTGGGAATAACATGGCTTGTAAGAAACAAGGCAACTTCTTATACGAATCTTCCTAATTACCGTAGATGGTCTCCACTGGCTTTTGTTTGGCCAACCAGGCTTTCATGTATGTTATAGTGTAACCCGTTGTTAATTGGATGTGGGCTATGATTGTGGAGATTGGTGTTGACGTTGAAAGCTTTATTTGTAGTAGTGACAAGAGAACAATATTGGGAGATTATGAAGCTTGAAGGGCACCATACATGCGTTTCGCCATTAATCAGCCATGACCATAACAAGTTGGGATATAAAATGATTTGTCAAACAATTGGTCAAATAAACCGACGTTGAAAGTATGATTTTTTAAATTAATAATTTTTTATTATTTACAAACCCTTTATATCCCCTTTATTTATCTAGAAGTCTCCCTCTCTTTATATTATATTTTTATTAGGTCATCTATCTCTTTATATTATATTTTTTAGAAGTTTATTAATTTTTTAAGAGAATTGTCATTGGCAGGATTCGAACCCAAGTACTTTAGAGTTGGAGGCTAATACTCCAACCACTAAACTACTAGAATTTTCCGATAATAACTTACAAATAAATTATATTTATATACAAATAAATATATATTCGTGTAAATATATAAATATATAAATACAAATATATTTATATATTTTGATATATTTATATAGTTATATATTTATATGTTGGATGTGAGGGCACACTCGAAAGTGAAAGTGTGTGTCGAGTGGGTTTTCAAAATTTGATGCTAAATTTGTGAGCAGGTATCTTTATATGAGTTTGTAATTTAATGACAGTAATATAATCTTTATAATTTTATTTATATAATGATATAAAATAAATTTGGGAAATGTGTTATTCGCTCTCAAGCTGAAAAATACCAATTTTCGCTCAAACGAAACTTGAGTGAGTGAATTTCCGTGAGCTTTAACATATTTTCACTCAAGCAAGAGTCAATCACACTTTCACCCTCGATCGAAAAATACCAATATAATTTATTTGTAAGTTATTATCAAAAAATTATAGTAGTTTAGTGGTTGGGATATTAACTTTCAATCCTAAAATACTGGGTTCAAATGCTATAAGGTGACAATTCATTAACTTAAGAGAATTTTTGGCTGAAAATAAAAATAAAAATACTTTCCAGAAAATATATACAAATAAATATATATTTACATGGATATATATTTATTTGTATATAAATATAATTTATTTGTAAGTTATTATCGAGAAAATTCTAGTAGTTTAGTGATTTGAGTATTATTCTCCAACTCTAAAGTACTGGGTTCGAATCCTGCCAATGACAATTTTCATATTTAAATGAGTTTTTGGGTGAAAAAAAACAATAAAAAAGACTGTCCAACCGACGTGGAAAGTGTCAATAAGTGAAAAAAAAAAAAGACTTTCAACGTCGGTTCATATGGGAACCGACGTAGAATGTGTTTAATATTCAACTTTCAACGTCGGTTCATCTGGGAATCGACGTGGAAAGTACTTTCTACGTCTCAGCTATAACCGACGTTAAATGACGACGTAGAAAGTATATTTTGTAGTAGTGTGTGCGCAATATTGCTCGACATCTCCAATTGCATTGATTATCAACACATTAAACAACATATCTACTTTTGTTTGAAATTTTCACCTTGTATGTGTAGTGATTGACAATGTGAAAGCGGTTAATGACATCTTGAACTTGTTCTTTTTTTATGAAACATTGTCCAAGAAATAGAGTTCCTACTGGATAAACAAAATACTCTCTGTCCAATGCATGACCATACTCTGGGTCTTATTGTTGAATGTGACTTTCAAAGTTAAGAAAATATTGTGGTGGGTTGTATGGTTCCATGAAGTTTGGTGCATGTGTAGGGATATGTGGTTGTTCGTCCTCTAAATCATCTTGTTGTTGGCTGAGAATTTCATCTTTGTCTTTGTCCTCACTAAAAGGATCAACGACTTCAATTGGGAGGCCAACAATTTCGTTCTCTTGTGTGGGTAGTTCTTCATTGATGTTGGTGGAAGGCCTAGTTAGAAGTTGGGTAAAAGGGATGTAGTCATTATGTGTGGGTATTTCTGGGTCAGTGTTTGGGAAAGCTTGGTAGGGTGAGGGTGAGATTTCAGGTGACTGTGGGTTGGGGTATGAAGAAGAAGAAGTTTCAAATGTAACAAAAATTTCAATACTACATAGACTTGAGTTTGAGTCATGAACATCGAACATGGCCCCCACGTCGTCATCATCTTTCAACTCAACAATAATGAAGTTGTTGATCCCAACTCCAAGTCTAGTTGGGCAGCAAAAGTGGATGGTTGCTACATTTTCGTGGGGTTCTTTCTCCAATTTCCTGTGGATCAACTTCTTCAACCTTTTTATAGAAATTTTTCTCTTCAAAGGAACAAGTTTTGCAGTCCCAATATTGAAGGTAACTCCCTCCATGGGACATGGGTTCATGGAACCATCATAGTGGACAATAGTAGACACTACACCCATTTTAGGAGTGTGGAACAAAAAGAAGACAAAAGGTAAGAAGAAGAAAGAATGCAAAGAACTTCAAAGATTTAGGAGTGTGCAATGTGAGAACTTCAACGAATGAAAGTGGTCTATTTATAATGAAGTCCAATGGTTTGAATTCAAGCCTCCCTCACATGGCTTTTGACGCACACAAAACTCAAGCAAAGTGGGTGGGTCAGCATCTCTTTAAATGTGCTTGGATTCTTCTGCTTTTGTCTAACCCAATGCAGGGAATCCAATATTGGAATCCTTACTTGGGTGGGTGACTCAGCATTGGATTCCTGACTTGTGTGCAGTGGCGATTTTTCTTGGGAGTTGAGGAGGGTCGTGGCCCCCCAAAGTTTTGTAACTCCCATGTAATTTATGATTTCCCCCCCAAACTTAATGAACATTTAATATATTTACTTGTATATTTACAATTTTATCCTCTCAGCCCCTCCTCAGTTTTATAACTCTCATATAATTTATGATTTTGTCTCACTCAAACTTAATGATCATTTAATATATTTAAGTATATATTTAAAATTTTATCCTTGCACCCTTTCATCTTCTTACTTCATTTTATATTTATTTATTATTTATTAATAATATATTATTTGGCCCCTCTAAGATCAATGGTCAAGATCCGCCACTGCTTGTGTGCATCGGAAAGGCATGGGAATCCTGACTTGGGTGGGTGACTCATCATTGGATTTATGACTTGTGTGCATTAAAAATTATATTGAGAGGTGTTGTTTTGGGAATATTTTTTTAAAATATTAATTATGTAAAAAAAGTCACAAAATAATGGATCATAATTTAAAATAATCGATTATTTTAAAATTATAATCGATTAGTTTAGCTTATATTTGATTATAAATAGTTGCAAGTCTCCTTGCTCAAGCGATGAATTTCTCGCTTGAATGAGAGTTGATTACAGACTAAAGATCCAATGCAGTTAACTACATAATATAACTTGGGTCACCACATATTTCAATCACTTTTCGCTCGAGTGAGCATTTCATCACTTAAGCAAAATAGAACTCAACAATACCCATTAGTTGCAGTGTCTCCTCGCTCAAGCGATGGATTTCTCGCTTGAGCGAGAGTTGACCACAGACTAAAGATCCAACGTAGTTAGCCACATAATGTAACTTGGGTCACCACATATTTCAATTCCTTCTCGCTCGAGCGAGAATTCCGTCGCTTGAACGAAAAAGAACTCGATAATACCCATTAGTTACAGGTCTCCTCGCTTAAGCGATGAGTTTCTCGCTTGAGCGAGAATTGATCTTGCGCGAAATAATCAATCATAATCTAAAATAATCAATTATTTTAAAACGTGAACGATAAATGGTGCTAGAAAAATAAATAATATTTTCTCACAATATACGAACATAACCATTTAAAATTTCTCATAATAAAATGATAAAAATTTATCTATCATAGGATAAATAATTACTTAACTTTGATTTTTTTATTATTATTATTATTATTATAACGGAAGATTACGAGACCACTCTTATTAAGATAAAATACATATAATATATATATATATATATATATATATATATATATATATAATATTTTTCTTTAATTTTTAAATCAATATTTATTGATATAATGTTAATATTTTTTTTTAATATTATTTATCAAAATAAATAAAAAAGAGAGAGAAAAATCAAACTAGACATTGCCTTTCACAGAACGAAATTCCGACATATTATCGAGCAAGAATTCATGGAAAAGAAACTCAGCACTCTGCTCAGTAGAGATCGAATTCTGGATGAAAAAAAAAATTTTAACTATTGATATATATATATATATATATATATATATATATATATATATATATAATATACTAAGGTAAAGATCATGTTCTTAGATATCTGGTTGGAAAGAGGGTTTACATTTATCGTCACCCTTTATATGGCAAACAAAGATCATGTTATTATTACAAACTCAATTTTACTTAGCATCAATTTTGTAAGTCATGTTGATTAAAAACAATTCTCTTCCTACATTACATACTCTTAAAAAAAGCTCTATGAACGTGGTTTAGCATTTGTCACTTGGAATCGGAACATATTTTGTTGTTGTACATTTTTATGTAGACATCATGAGATTTCAACAGCAAATTATACCTTTAACTAAGTCTCTTTCCCCATTCTCCCTCAACAAGGTTAGGCCTCATTCTCCAAATGCATGGCTTTGTATGGATGCAAAAGCATGCATTTGAACTTTGATATATGTACATAAGCTGTACATTTGAAGTGGTAAACAAAAAACCATTATCTTCACATCTCCTCACTACCAGCAATATGTCTCTTCTCAAAGGAAAACTCCGATGAACTAACTCTGATTTCAAGCTGAGAGCTAGTGGGCAATTCTGGTACTGAGCTTGAGCCTGGCTCAATAACTTGCATTTCGGTTTCTTCAGCTGCTGCATGGTTGCTTGTGGAAGGTGAGCCTTCAAAATCCCATTGCTCATTTTCATAGTTCGATGTCCTCGGAGATGTTTGTGCACTATCACTTTTACCAGCAAGGTTTTTCTGCAGCAGATGCACAGGAGACATACCATATGCTGGGGTTGATGGCCTGCTTGAGAATGGTGTGGTTTGCTTACTGTTTTTGACTTGTTTTCTGGCAGTATTGTGCCAGTTCTTCAGTGCTGATGCCACTCTCTGATTGAAGATTGTAGGTTTCATGGTTGAACCCATCTGCAATACAAATCAGTGAATGATTACATTGTTTTGTGAAAGAAAATATGTATATGTTTGGATAGATTTTCTAGCGAGTAAGACCTGTGTGACTAGAGCATATAGAGGTAATGTCACATAGCTGCAAAGAACTTGATTGACAACCCTGCAATATAAAATTGCAGTTCATGGTTAGTTATATATATAATGTAATGAATTAATGGTTGGTCTATAATTGGCACAGGAACTTCTTATAGCAGAAGTGAACTTACCCCATTGCAAGTCTTATGACAATATCTGCAGTTGTTTCGTGGAAGCAAGAGTGTAAGGAGAATTCATACTGAAACAAAAATTATGGAAAAGTTAGGAAAAATGAGATATAAAGGCACATTAAGAATGCCTAAAATTTTCGTCAATGTCGTAGTGATAACCAAAAAGAGAAACTAAGGCACAAGTTGAAGAGAACTTGATCAAGATGGATAAACTTACAGTACTCCAAGAGAAAAATGCCAGTTGAAAAGCATTCTGTAACATAGAAGCAAACAAATTAAATTATTTTCAGAGCACAAGAATTCTTTAGATGAAAGAATCTAAGGAAGAGAGATGGTGAAATTACCTGAAAGAGCACAAGATGAATCAGAAAGAGGAGGAGGCGTGGACGGTTGAACCAGAACAGGTCATCTCCTGGCTGAACCAGAGGTGCACCTTTGACAACTTCCCCTCTGTCTTTAATTCTCAATCCCATCTTTGTTATAATCATTTGAAGTTTAGCTCCCACCAACAAGATTATCTGAGAAATTTACATTAAATTTGACGAAGTTATTTATGCTCTTAGATCAAGAAAGGAAAGAAATATAAAAAACCTGATCAACAGAATGAGTAGTTTGTGCTTACAACAAATGGGATGAATGGAAGCCAATAATAAGAATACCACCCTGTACACACAACAAAATTTTTAAACTTTTATTAGTGGGATAAACTGGAACAATTACATAATTCACGATCAAGTTTTGTTTTACTTTATTCCAGTGCCTTTGGTAACTAACCATTGATCATCAACCTGTTTCCTAACAGTAGTTTGTGTTAATTAATTTGATCCTAAATATACTGACTGTTGCACAATCAAGGATTAAATTCATATGTTCTGCAGTAGTAGGAATGATATTGATCAGAGTTGGCAATAGAAGGGAGTGAGGTGTGTTCGTATAACCCTTTCATTTAATTCATATGTTTGTATTTTAGTGTATTATCTACCACAATTATACAACTTTAGTGTCAAGTTTCAATTGAATTTCTCTACTAAATGTGTTATTTAAATTTTATTCTGCCATTACTACAATTGTATGATTTTAGTTGATAGAAATTATGTGTTTTGGTATAAATGAAAATAAAGGACTAAAATAGAACATTTGCAGTACTCAGAGAACCAAAAATACAGATAATCTAATACCAGAACATATTTAATCAAGTTCAAAAGTTCACAATTAACTCTACTAAATTCATATCTAGTTAACCTCAGAACAAACAAGCCATAAAATGTTTGATGATTTGTCAAAGTGAAGGACTAAATTGGTTCTTTGCAATATCAAGGATGAAGTTTATTGACAGACTACATTAAAGTTTTTCTTAATTCAAATTAATTTTGGAATTCGAACAAGGCTTACCATGAGTATTAGTCAGAAGGAATAGCACCGCAAAGAACCATATCACTGGGCTGCAAGTGAGAAAACGAGTGAGCTTCAATTGACGAATAAGTTATAGAATTATAGCTGAGCAATGCAAAAGAAAAGAACATGTTCATACCTTATTCCCACCACAACTTTAAAATCTTCCTCAAGTGACCTTTCGATGTACTTCTGGAAATCAAATCTTGCATCACTTCCCGGTGCCAAATGAGCCTAAAATCAAATAGTATCTTAGTCTCCCCTTTTGAAATGCCCCAAATAAATTTTAACTAATATAAAATGTGTATTAAAAGGAAAATATATTATAATTATTGGATAGAGGGTTAACAAACTCAATCTCCATTATATGATATTCAACTTCCTAAATTTATCCATATGAGATTTCAACCCAAACTTAGATTTGGAGATTCGGTTATAATTTTTACTTTAACCACCAAATATTTCTAAATATAATACAACTCACCATGATGAATCCATGCCGTAATGTTAAATAGTCAATTTTGTTGACAGATCCAAAGAATTGTCGGAAGAAACTAACCTGAGTAAAGCAGTGTAACAAAGACAAATAACTATTAGAAACAAACATGGAGATTTTTTGACGAGTCATAAAGACTAATTAATTAAACACTAGAAATTCAAAAAAATTGGCTAATAACTCATTTTAGGAATTTTAGCATATATTCATGGATATATAATAAATTTTTCCTTACTATCGCTAAGGAAATTGTTGACTGACTCCATGAGTTCAAGTGCCTTCTTCCAAATGTTGTGTCCCTTGCAAACCTAAACCTCTCAGGATCTGTAATGTGTACACATTATTTATAAATGTCCCAGTCAGAGATGGACTATATAATATAAACACCCCAAAGAAAATAAAGACACATTTCACAAGATAGGTATAAGTCATTATTTACTTTAAAATATTATTACAAAGATTTTTCTAGATCATTAATATATACTTATTTTGCAACAACATCTAATCATAATGGAAGTCATGTTATAGAAATACATTTTAGATACACACACATTTAAATTTTTACATATTAACTTATTATTAGGTGTATTTTAAATAAGTTCAACTAAATAAATAAATAAATAAATAAACAAATTACTCAGTAAAATGTACGAAAAAATTGGTCTGTTACCGAATAATGTAATATAAATAAAAATAGTGTTAATATTAAGACTCAGTGTTCCACCTTAAAGTCATTTAAAAACGCTTAAAAGTCAAAAGTCTAGGTCAACGTTTAATTATTAGTTAATTATAGATGTACGTACGATATCGTTAACTTTATTTGGCTCTTGAAAAACGAGTAGCATTACATGTTTTTTAATTCACGGAGGAAAGAAACTTTGATGTCTTACCGTTGTAAAATTGATATTCAATGGTCTTGGTTTCATTTTCCCATGCCCTCCACTTTCTCATCTGCATCCATTGAACCAAACGAAGAATTCAGAGCGAGAACGAAAGAACAATCCGCACACAAATTCTGAAACTACTGTTTATAATGCATTTCTGAAGTCAAAATAAGGGGCAGGACTCAGATTTTACCTTGGTTCTTCCGAAAGCAAGTGTTAAAATGCACTGTAGAATATGAAAAATTGCTAACACAAAGATGAATATATGCAGCTGGTGAATCCCATATGCTGAAACAAAAGCAACTTTTCCCTGCAAATAAAAAACCACTCATCAAAACTAAAAATATATAAACTTGTCGTTACATGTCACGTGAAAACTATTGAGAATGAGAACTGCAACCTAATAATTTTCCTAAGTCGGTGAATGCTCACAAAATATTTTTGTTATCTTCCCACACTTTTATAGTATAACTTCTTATTTTATCGTGAAATGGGTGTCAGACAAAAATGGGGTCCCTCCGTCAGATGTTGACAAATTTCTGTTTATCAATGCATGAAGCAACAAGTTGGTGAACAGTGAAGATGCTCAACTTGCCTTATCAGCGCACTTGTCAAACCCTTTTGTTGCCAGAACACGCCTTGGTATGGAGTCATACAATTGTAGGAGTTTCCTAGAATTTATCACAATGTCATCAGATACATCCTCAGTTTCTGTTGATGTTGATGAGGTCTTTGGGTTGGCACAAGGATGCCAAGTGGATGCAACTTGTTTCGATACGCAGATCTTGGAGATTTGATCTTGCAACACACTTAGGAGCAAGGATATGAACCCTAGCACCATAAGCTCTGAACATACAGTAATGTCAAAGGAAAGTCTCCTTAATTAGAAACTCAAACACACTGTAATCAAATTCAGAAATTTTTTAAAGAAGAGCACAAGTACCTCCTTTCACCTTCTCCAACGCTTCAAATAGAGCATTTTTGTGTTTCTTCTTGAACCACTGTAATCATCAGAAGTGACAAATTACACCCCAAGAGGTCAGGGTTGAACAGAACAAGTTATAAGACAGATATCATAAACATGAGTATTGAATATCATAAACGTTTTATAAACTAAACTAAACTGTTAACAACATTAATAAGTATATCTTTTAAGTAGCATACATAAACTTAGCTACCACAAGAAGATTCACAAATGATAAATGATCGAGTTTTTGAAATATGTTGACAGTAGTTTGATTTTCTTATCTACTTAAAATGAACTCTTTCCATGAAATAACACATCATGCACTAGTCTAAGCCTTAATCACTATAATCTATATACTATAAGATTAGCGTATCAATAATTGATGGAAGATTTTATAGCAATTTCTCGATATCATATTAAAAACGGTGAGATAATTAACTTCAACTTATAAAACTGGTTCGACACAATAAAGATTTTACCTACTTATATATATATATATATATATATATATATATATATATATATATATATATATATATATATATACTGTAACGTTAATCGATATAGAATTTCATCACGAGATATCTACTTTCAACAAAATAAATAAACTCTGCTAAGCTTACCTTTCCAATACCATGAATAAGATGTTCTATGGCGATTGAAACAGCAAGCAGGACAAAACACACAACAGCAACAGCCCATGTTGGTGTTTCCTCCAGATTTCGTTCATAAACTTTGGTTGTTGCCATGTCCGGTATTTTCCTCAACCGGTGCAGGACTCAAAACACAAAAAAGTGTTTGTATGTGATGAGAGAGACTCGGAAGATTCTGGTGCAGAAAAAGAAGTGTGTTGTGTTTTATCCAAATGTTGTGGAGATTTGTCTGGAACAAATTGAAGGGGTGCTGATAATGGTTTATAAATACGAGACTGTGTAGTAATAAAGTTAGAGATAAGCGTGATGGAGTGTCCAGGGAAGGCTGGACATGAGAGAATAGAACACGTTACACATCATGGCATGAATTCGTTGGACATGTTCAAAGTGGTGATTAGTCAAAGAAAGAGAGCAGAAAGATGACGCAGTCTCAACTCTGATTGGTCAACATTTTACTTAAATATTACAATCAAATCGAAAACAGATCAATTTTGAAAAATAAGATATGTTATTCATGTATTACACAGTATATTTTGTATCTCTTTTTCCATCTTATTTTTCTATTGTTCTTGTGAATAAAGCATATTATTATAGTATATATTACTTTCCAGATTTGGTTTCTTAGTTTCTTCTCTTGTCACTTATTTCTCTGTTTGAAATTCTGTGTGCGCTTATTAGAAGGTGAATGATGGTAATTCTTTTTCTTCTTTAAAAAAAATATGAAGAACAAGTTTTTCTTTTAAAACATTTTTTATAAGGAGATTACTTTTATATTTTTCAAGTACCAACCATCTTTTATATTTGACAAAATTGTATTAATATATATTTAATAAAAAAATTATAGAGTTTTTATATTCAATAGATAATGTAATATAGAGTTATTACTCATGTATATATCAACCATTTATTGATTTTTTTTAATTTATTTGTTAAAGATATAGTTAAATACCTAAGTTAAATTAAATTGGTTTTTTGTCTGTTTTTTCGTTAATAATATTAATTTTGATTGATGTAATATGTTTTTAGTCGTATACGTTAATTAATTTAAGAGATTAAAGTAAAATATTTTTAAACAAAATTCAATCTTAGATAAAAATAAAATGATTAGCATAAAATAGACGAGGATTAAAATAAAAGAACCAAGAAGATTAGCATTTCGTCGTAACTGCTGCTAATTGACAAGTAAATAGATTCTTCAACAAACGCGCTTCTACGAAAGAAGAAAAAATAATACGAAGAAAGAAGAGTTCAATTTCACGTTTCAACGCAGAAAAAAATAATTATTTAAAAAATAAGTTTAGTCAGTTCAGAAAGTATTATAATGGAAAAATTTTAATTTCATAATTTTCTATTATATATGTCCTTTCAAATATTGAACATGTTTAATTTTAAATTTAAGAGACTTATACGATAGAAATTCGCAATACTAAAACTGCAAAATCCAAAATCACAACACCTAAAAACTTTGATTAAATCTAAAATATATTATGAATATAATTTTAATATTATTAAATGTATATTATGACTGAATGAGAGTATATTTTTTTCTTATACTTTCCATATTATTCAACTCATATGACTCTAACATATGTTACACAGAAAATGACGAAAAATAAAATATACATAAAATATGTTTAGTCCAATAAATAATACTGTTAGAAGCCGTAAACAGCACTTCGTTTAATTAAAAACTTATAATCTGAAAAGTCCATCCGTGCCTAATCAAAATTCTTTCCAAAATTTTATGTGTTTAACGTTTTGAGAGAATTAAAGCATATAAACAAAAAGTCAAATTAATATCTCCTTAAGTTCATATAGATTATTAACAAATGATTGATTGAGGTCACGGATAACGAAAATAACATACTGCCAAATTTAATTGACCATTTCAAAGCGTGAATCAAATCAAAAAATACTACCTGAATCGAGTTAATAATGAAACAATATTATTTTTTATTTTTTACATAAATAATTATATATATATATATATATAAAGCAAGAATATTTTTGTCTCAAATTTATTATTATAATATCTTAGAGCATTAAAGAATTATTTATTTACTGTTTTTAACAACAGTTTTTGAAAGAAATTGAAACTGTTTTATTCAATTTTTTTGAAAATTATTTATATTTAAAAATTAAAATGTATTTTTTATTTGTGTTTAAAAAATATTTAAAGTTCAACTTATCATATGAATATTTTGAGTTTTCTTAATTTTAGAAAAGAAAAAACAAAGATTGAAATAATTTCAAAAAAGATATCAGAGTTAAAAATTAAACTACAAATTCTTAATACAGTACTATTCTATATTTTGATTATTGGAATGATGCATCAGATGTTTGTTTTAAGAGAAATCAGATTTTTTATTTTTAGGGTTTGTTATTTTGATAAACTCTTTGTATTTATGTTTGAGTAAGTTAGTTTTATTTTATTAGAGTAATTTATATATATTTAATTGATCTAGACATGTCTTAAACATAAAATTATAAGGAATCGAGAATTTAAAATAGATAATATTATTGCTTTTTCTTATAATAAACTTTAATTTATTATCCGTTTTAGAAATTTTATTTTTAAAATGCGTACGGATGGTATATCTGGTTAAGAAGCAAATGTGTGTGGTGTAGGCACGTCTGAGTTCAAATGGATGAAGACTTTGTCACATAGTTTTGAGGTCTGAAAAGTGTCTCGTTTTGACTGCAGTCTGCATAACATTGGAAATGCAATATATATATACACGTTTGTGTGTACGCGGAAGAATTTCACACAATATTCAATTAATACAAAGAAGGCAAGGCTTTTAAAACCCTAAATCCACCTGGTCGTTTTACGCAACCACAGAGCCACCGGTTATATATATATATATATATATATATATATATATATATACTGGAATGTACCTCATTTTTTATTATATTAAAGTAATTTTATTTTACAAACATAATAATTTTGTGTCAATTTTTTTAAATTATATAATTGATGTTGTGAAAGAATTATATTTATTTTTATATTATTTAATTTTTATTGTTTTTTTAATAAAGAGATTATTTTAAATAGAAGGACTGTGTGATTATAATTTTTATTGATATTAAATAATTAATTTTTCATTTGTTGAAAGACTAAATAATTTAAAATAAACATGACAAAAAAAAGTGTAATTAAATAAATGTAAATAGGGTATTGAGACTGCTAGAAGCCTCCCAATAAAAAAAAACAAAACGTGAACGAAATGATAAAAAAAGTAATGTGTTGTGGGGACCATTATGCCTTTTTTTATTATTTTTATTTTGTTTTTCACTTTCATCTAGTATCAAAAATTTTGAAGTCTTGATTTTTTCACAAGTGGTTAGTTTTTATTTTATTTTTATTAAATTATAATTTTGATCTTTCAATAAGTCCAATACGTGATTTTAGTTTTCTTATTTATTTTTCTACAATTTTAATTCGTAATTTTTATTTAATTTTTTATGTTTACTTATTTTATATTTTAATTAAATACTGGTCTCTTAAATGAATATGTTTAGATATAGAGTTTAATTTATAAAAATAAATGGAAAATGTATATTAAAAAATAAAAATGGAATTAAAATAACAAATTATTAATATATGTTCATATGTCTCACTTGGTTTAGCATTGTATATGTCTCACTTTGTTTAAGAGTCAATGTTGGACAGTTCTTTTCTATTAACCCATCGAGACATATTTTAAGGTCAAAATCGTGACGAATGAGAGTTCTAAAGTGGACAACCCCTTGAACGTGAGAATTGACCCTAGTTATATTATCAAAAACGAACATAAGACCGAGACACTCTTCTTTTTAAATAGAATATTAACGTCCATTGTGAGGTCGAAAGTAGAGTCTCGTTCCATGCACACTCTGTAGTCATTGACGGAAGACTTATGTTCCGTTATTTTCATGAATATTACATTGCTTAAGATTAGAGGTTAAGAGTAGTTTATAAATACCTTCTTTCTTAATCTATCGAGATGCTTTTAAAGGATAAAATCGTGACGGACTATAATTTTAAAATAAACAATACATTAAAATAAGAATTAAACCTAACAATGCTAGCAAACATCATATCAATACACAATCCTCTTACAAATCATATTAAAAAAAATCAAACCTCATATAAATATTAAAAAAAAAAACTTAAAATGTCATTATTTTGACTTAATATTCAAGTCATCATGATGTATGTCTTTTGAGTCATCTTTCGAATCACATTTGATGCTTGAAATCAATAATATCCCATTCGAAATTACATCCTTAAGTAACTAGTTTAATGTTAGATTATACAATTTAAGATAAATATTAATTTTTATTATTTTTAATAAATTTTTTATTTTATAAATTAAATATTTTTATTCTAAAATAAGTATATAATTAATAAAATAATAATTAATACAATCTTAAATTTTACCATCCACATATATTTAAAAAAAAAACTCTCAACAAAATTTTAAATATTTTGAAACAGGACTAAGCTTTTAATCGATTAGCCGCTTAATGATTACTAACACTCCAAATTTGAAATTTTATAAATTGTTAAAAACAAGATTTTCAAACGGTAACGTGATGAGCTAAATTTTGTACTAACAAATCTCTTCAAATCTAACATGCATCTGATTAGATTTTCAAACGGACTTAGAAAATAAACTTAAATTAATTTATTCTTTTAGTTTTGAACTATCTTTAATCTACACGTGTAAATAATATATATATATATATATATATATATATATATTATGTTAATACTATTAATATTTTTGCACTATTTAAATTTGTTTAATATTTATATTAATTTTAGTAAATTTATATTAATTTTCTTAATATTTTTGCACTATATTAATATTCTTGCACTATTTAAATAATATTGATTTACAAATATTTAAATAACAAAGAAAGCAATACATAATTTGAGAATTTATTTATTAAAATATTATGAACATGATACATAAAATATTCTAAATATAAGATGTAACAATAGGTACTTTTTTTAGGATGAAGTGTGTGACAAACAGTGATAGATCTTTTTTAAGTGGAAAGAGATCATAATTGTCTTATAGTTTTGTAACTATATAACCCTAGAG